AATTAAATTGACCATTTTATAAGTCTGTAACACTGCATGCATTTTTCCATATTTGAACATGACCCCCAAAATAGTGTAGCACCTCATACTGAGTTATATAACAGATAAGTTTTAGTCTTTCAGGACAGGTTTACTTAGAGAAGTCAGGGAATAAACAAGTTCATAAACAAAGGTTATTTCACCTTTGTTACATTATTTATAGGTTCGTTAGACATGGGCTAAAGTGATTATTTAAGGTTCAAGTTTTGTGATGTTAAATTTTATGCTGTGGACCTTTATGTGCGATTTGAAATAATTAAGTGTTTAATGAATTTAGAAACAAAAACTTTGCCTAAACTAAAGGAACGAGAGCAGCACACCTGCACGTGTGAGTGGTGAGAGGCAGTCACGTGGCAGCACCTGCCCACACGCAGGCCCTCAAGAAGTCTTGCATCCTTCGCAGGGCTTAGGCTTCCGTGGGTTATCTTAATGAGATGTACGTTTGTACACTTCTACCTCTAAATTGGTTATTTCTACATAATGTTTTTAAGTTTTTTTTTAAATTAAACCTCCCTTGTAACTTCCTTGAGAGAAACTAATTCTATATAGGTGCAGAGTGTAGGAGACTTCACAAGTAAAGCCATTTTATGTCCTCTGAGAAAGTACTTTTTAGACAGTTAGAAATTAAACCATGTAATGTTGGATGACTTTTCCTTTGAAAAAATGACTGAGCCTACTAAATATGTAGTCTTAAGATTTTCATGAATCATATAAAAGGATTTATAGATCTGGCCTTCATTCTCAGCCTATACCATAATATTCCTTAAGTCTGCCAGGGAAAGCAGTGTCTGGGGCCATTTCATACCACAGTGTAATCAGGGTGGGTGTGTAGTGCATTCTACAGTCATGAGGTTTGAAATGTTCTGAATTAAACTGTGCAGGATATCAACGTCTCTGCTTAAATTTCAGTCTAACTGACCTCAATTATATCAGTTAGCCTTTAATAAGACCTTGAAATCTGTTTTAATTTCAGCACCAAAAAACACAGACTGTTGCCCTTTAATAGATACAGCTAAAATGAGGAGGAAATAATGAAAATGCTAACCCTTTGGTAGGCTTGAATTCTCCATTTGTACACAAAAATATGCTGCACTGTGGACCTAGTGGAACTAGTTGATACACACTGATGTGGAGCTATGTATCCAGAACATATTCTTTCATTGAAGAAAGCCAGATACAGAGCAACCTGTGTCGCGAGTGTGCCACCATCCGCTGCTTTCCTAGGCACATGAGCAGGGAGCTGGATTGAAAATGCAGCAGCCTGTGCTCAGACAAGTCAACATGAGAGATGCTTCCATCACAGGCTGCAGCTTATGGCGCTGTACTACAAGCTGGCCCCTATCTGTTCTTGAGTGCAGCTTCACCAAAATATGAGCCACCAGGATCCAACAGCACATCAGGCAGGTCATCTGCCCGGAACAGGTGGGGTTTATCTCTGCCATGCAGGGATGATTTAACATTCACAAATCAATAAATGTGATTCACCACATCAGTGAATTGAATAATAAAAGCCTTATGATTATTTCAGTAGATGTAGAGAAGACATTCAATAAAATCCAACACCATTTCATGTTAAAAACTTTAAGCAAGATAGGCACAGAAGGAACATTCTATAACACAATCAAAGCAATATACCAGAAAACCAACACTAGCATGATACTAAATGGGGAACAACTGGAAGCTTTTCCACTAACAACTGGAACTAGACAAACATGTCCACTTTCAACCACTGATCTTCAATATAGTATTGGAAGTCCTTGCCAGAGCTGTTAGGCAAAAAAAAAAGAAAGAAAGAAATTCAAATTGGGAACGAAGAATTAAAATTATTCCTGTTTGCAGATGACTTGAGTAAACCTTGATATTTGTGCCTTTCAATGGAGTTGTACATTTCATTTTAATTACTACGTTTAGCTTCTTAAAGTTACTCGTATTATTTCCTTTGGCTCTGCCATGTCTATAGAATCTGTAGCTATGGGCTTACTTTGCTCTGTTGTGTTGATAATTTTTCTTCCTTAATCAGTCTTAATAGGATCTATCAATTTTGCTTATATATCTAACAAGCCTGATTTTATAGTCATTAACTTGTTTGTTTTATATCTATGATTATGAGTTTCTTGCTTATATGTACTGCACGTTTAATTGGCTTTTCTTTTTAGTTTCTGAATATGAAATTTAGTGCACTGGTTTTCTTTGCATAAACATTTGAAACTGCTCAGATTACTTCTAAGAACCGTTTTAGCTACATCCTACAAATTTTGATATGATCTGTTATATTCCAATTTTCTATGTAATTGATTCTTTGATCCCTGTAGTTCAAAGTATATTGTTTAAATTATAAATATTTCAGAATGTCCCACATGTCTTTCATTATTGATTGTTACTTTAACTTTGCTTTAAAAACATACTTTGAAATGTTAATCCATTGCAGTTAATGAACCTTGTATAGTGCCTCAGAATATAGCCTGACTTGGTAAATATTCTGTGTGCATTAGACAAGGAGGTGTGCTCTGCTGACATGGAATAGAATGTTACACAAATATCAGGACAGGGGATTGAAAGCATGCTTTTGCATGTGTTTACTGAGTTTCAATCTATTTGTTCCGTTAGTTACTATGAGAAGTGTGGGAGTTGTTAGTATATTGTGGATTTATCTGTTGAGTTCTGTTTCTGAAATTCTGTTTTCTGCAAGTGTTCAGTGTTTCATGTCTACACTGTATCATAATCAGTACTTACACAAGTGATTTAATTATGTCTTCCTAATGAACTTGGAGTCATTATGAAGTGTAAATCTCTCTTCACAGTGGTGTTATTCTCAGGAGCGCTCTGTACAATGTTACTATTGACCCTCCTTTCTTTTGATTAACGCATGTTTAGTAAATCTTTTTCATTTTTAAAAATTTGCTCAAGGTATATAAGCAATACAAAATTGGGTCATGCATTTTTTAAAACATTTATTTATTTTTATTGGACAGTCAAATTTGTAGAGAGAAGGAGAGACAGAGAGAAAAATGAAGTAGCCACAGTGGCTGGAGCTGAGCCGATCCAAAACCAAGAGCCAGGCACTTCTTCTGGGTCTCCCATGCCAGCGTAGGGTCTGAAGGCTTTAGGCCGTCCTTGACTGCTTTCTCAGGCCACCAACAGGGAGCTGGAAGGGAAGTAGAGCAATCAGGATACAAACTGGTGCCCATATGGGATCCCAGCGCATGCAAGGCAAGGCCTTTAGCCACCAGACTACTACTGCACAGAGCCCTGTAAGTCTTGCTTTTTAAAGATAAAAGCTGAGTGTCTCAGCCTTTTGAATTTGATTATTTATAACATTTATATTTTGTGAAATTACCAATATAATGAGTTTAAGCCTGTTTTATTCTATTTCTTGTCTGCTGGTCTCTGTTCTTGGTTTCTCTTTCTTTCCCTGCCTCTTTTAGATTGAATTTATTTGGTGTCAGTATTTTATTTCTTCAATTAGATTATGGGTTATACCTCTTTTTTAATGTTTATTCCAAGATCTATAACTCACCACTTACTATTTTGAATTAATATTATGCCATTTCACTGAGACTACTAACTTAATAGTAGTATTGTTTGAAGATGTACTTTATGTATGTGAAAGGTAGAAATACACAGAGAGAAAGAGATCATCCATTCACTGTTTGACTTCCCAAACGGTGGCATTGGCTATTACTGTGCCAGGCTGAAACCAAGTGTGAGAAACTTGATTTAATCTCCCATTTGAGTATAGGGGTTCAGGGACTCGGACCCTCTTCTGCTGCTGTCTCAGGCACTTTAGCAGGCAGGTAGATTGGAAGTGAAGCAGCTGGGACTCGAACCAACACCTCTGGGGTTACCAGCATTGCAGACAACAGGCTTAACCTACTATGCCAGAATTCTATTTCCTGAAATAACGTTCTTGCGTCTCTTCTTCAGTGCCCATGCTATTACATATTTTTGTCTCCTACCATCTCTAGCATATAGGTTGTTTTTGCTAGTAATTACCCCTAAGCCTGCTTGACAATTATAAAAATACATTTTATACATATCAACATATTTACAACATATTTCCAATCTTTTGTGTATTTCAATTGAAGAACTTTTAACATCTGTAGACTCTCAAACTTTGTTTGAAAAAGCTTCATTACAATTTGGTGAATTTCATTCTATCAATATTGAGGATTTGTTTCAATAAAAGTACAAAATTCATAGACAGTTTAAAGTGTAAGGAAGATAATTGCAATGTCTGAAATGGATCATATTTTAAATGTATGCTAAAACATCAACTTCAGTATGACAACATACAAGCAGTATGAGATATTATTGCTAATAAGCACAGTAACTAGTCTGTTCAGATAAATGAACAGCTAGTACCCCTTATAAATATTAGGCCAATGAACCAAGGACTATGGTGTGGTGGTATCATGTTCATAGGAAAGAGAAATGCAGGGCCCTTTACGAGCAGTAGCGTGTGTGGACCACTGCTAGTGTGTAAACTGCTGGTGGTGTGACAGCTGCCACAGGCACTGTGAGGAACCGTGCCTGCTCTTCACTCCTACGAAGTGTGTGTCTCCTGTGGCCTGCTGACTCTGCTCTGGCCCACAGCAAAGGTGAGAGGATCTCTTTAGTCTTCAAGTCCGTAGGCGCTCATCTCCAGAAAGAGGCCCAGTGAGGCCATTGATGGTTATCTTTCAGTGAGGTGGTGAGAAGTGAGAGAGAAGCCAGCTGGCCTGCAAAGTGTTCTGTGGCAAACCAGAGCAACAGATGCTGCACGTAACAGCAAGCTTCAGATGTTAGCAGCACAATCTCCGAAGTGTTTTGTGTAGAATAAGAAGCAAAATGAAATGTATAGTATTACACTGTTGACATCAACTGCAACACAGAAGCTTGACTCTCCCTACCTCACTCCCTTAAGAACACCTGTTATTTCTATACGTTTAAGAAATATAAGTAAGAATACCTTCTTCTTGCAGATGTTGATGAATGCCAGGCTATCCCAGGGATATGCCAGGGAGGAAACTGCATCAATACAGTGGGCTCCTTTGAATGTCGGTGCCCAGCTGGTCACAAGCAGAGCGAAACTTCTCAAAAGTGTGAAGGTGAGTGTCTTTTTGACTTTGAATCTGAGAAAAACATCAGCTGAGTTGGAGTCTTGTAAACTATTAATCAACATCATTCTTTGTTTTAATAGGAAGATGATGGCATAACAGTGAAAGCTCATTTGTATCAATTTAGATATTCAAGTCTGAATGGGCTTGATTTGAAAATTATCAGTGAATATTTTGCAACTGCCTTTTACCTCTCAGTTAGTGTGAGGCAAGAGAGGAATACTGCCATTGATGTTTCTCCTTAATAAAATCGTTTTGACTTTCAATCAGAAAATTCACCCAAAATTGAAAGTAATACAGAAAAAAGTGCAGGTGAATGTGGTATCGTGTGATATATAGTAGTAGTTGGCACCCAGTCATATATTGTTAACATTTTAATTACTGTGTTGAAAATCATTGCTTGACTGGACACCAAATTAAAAGCAAACAAATTTACCCAGGAAGAATTTGGAAATTGCCCCAAATACTATATGTAAAAATAGTGTGCTAAAATAGAGACTTTTAAAAACTAACGGTTTTCTGGAACATGAAATAGGATTTTGACAGTGAGTCATCAGCTCTACCGTATTCCTCACGAAGAATAAATCACATATTGACCCGTGATCAAAACTTTTGTTATTGCAAAATTCAAGAAGTTTCTGCAAGTCTAATTTCAGTGAACATGGTTATTTACACGAATGTTGATTCTTCGAGAGTGTTGAGTATGTTTATCTTTCTCTCATTATACTATTTAAATCACTTTTTTCATATTAGATAGTTTTTCTAATAGCGAAGAATATTTTTTCTTGTTTTTCTATCACATGAGAATTCTCATGAGCTCCAGTAGCTCTTTTTGCCTCTGTCTGAGGGTCTAGAGTTTAAGCATAGAAAGAAAGTGGGAGCATCAGCCGTGATGTCAGGTGAGAGGTCGGCTGTAGGCATTGCATGCCACTGTCTCAGTTTCAGAAAGCATGATCCTACATGGCCTGTGCCACCCTGCAGCTTCCACTGGCTCTGCGTCCATCCTTAGCTCCCGACAGGTCTTTACAACCTTGCTACTGAATTTCATGCTCCTCTTAGTAAAAAAAAGACAACGAAAGTACAATTGATTATTTTAAGAATAAGTAAATTTTCTCTCTAAATTTTCCCAAGAATGCTCCAACAGTTTGTGCTGCTTAAATCCAGTTTGGACCATCTGAATATGCCTGTTATGATACAGTTAAGAAAAATACTTAGAAGTTGGAAAAAAAAATTCTCCAAATTAGCAGGAATTTGAGGATCTAAAGAAATCTGGGTTGTGCTGCTGTTTCTTTTTTTGTATTTTTCCTCTTGTTTTTTGTTGTTGGGCAAAACTGGGCATTGACTCTTGTGCCGTCGGCCTTTTGTCATTTCCCTTTTACTGATCTGGAATAATAGATCGGACCGGAGGTTGCAATGGTACACTTAATTAAGAGACTGATGGAAGTAGGATTCCTTATGAAGGACCACACCATTGCAGCAGAATGGGGGAAATCTGTCGGGGGTGAGAGTCTTGAGGGGGAATCCAAGTCTATACGAAATTGTACTACATAATTAAAAAGTTCAAAATTAAAAAAAAAAAGACACAAGGACAGTATTTGAATGTAGATGAGAAGACATGGCCACGGACTTCTAGTGATTTTAACAATCCCATTGCTTAGCTAACAATGTCTTCTTAGTTGAAAATGGAATGAATGTTTTCAACCTCACCTTTAATCGAAGCAACATGCAAGGCTAGCCCAGTTGGGAGAAAGACAGTACGCCTCTTTATTCGCCGCTGTCTGTCCTGCAGGAAGAAGGGCCGTGACGGAAGGTGGGCTCCGCTCAGAGCCTGGATCCAGTCGTGCCCCTGATTGCTTTCCCGCCTGGGCAGCCAAGTCCATTTTACCAATGCCCGGAAAGAATGATCTGATTTTATGTTTAGCGTTGATGGGGAATAACAGAATTGGAAGAAGTAGCAATTAGAATTTGAAAACTAAGGTTTTGTGAAGTCTTTACTTGAATGTCAGGCATGTTTCGGTATGTCAGTGAATTTGACCAGTTCTCATTGGCTAATATTGATCCTTTAGGTGAAAGAACAACGGATATTTTCCTATATAAAATTAATGTAATCATGGTAGCATATCTAGAAAGACTCTAAAATCTTTGTATATTTAGGAATGTGTTTTGACTGGAGTCAGTTCTTGAAAAGTATCCACGTAAAATATAATTTCCCAAAGTTAATGTTTACTGTAAAGAAAAATAAAACCATAGGAATTATTTTTGACCAACTACTGAAGGAAAGACAGTTTAATATCTTGAGTTATAATGTGAATATGAAGTATCATGGCACAGGAAAATTTATTTTTAAATAATGCTCTTCCTGCTTTAGCACTTTTTGTAGTTCTGGTCATACAGCACTGGAATTTTAATGGAAGCCTTTTCAAAGACTAAGTTATTTTAAGTTCATCAATAAAAGAGATGACACGAGCATTTGGGGTGTGAGTGCTTGGGAGTTGATGATCTTCTTAATAAAAAGCTACACAGAGAGCTTAGTGTTCGGCCGTTGTGTTGATGGTCTCACACCGGTCCCTGAGCCTTGAGGACAAAGGCACTGCCTAGTGCAGGGTTCTCGAGCCTGGGACGGTTCCTGGCACGTGGCAACCACTGACAAGCGCCTTGGCGGCTAGGAAGGGGGTGCCTGACAATCAGTTTATTTGATTTGGGTTGAATGTATGAAGAGAAGCTAAATTGTGAGTCCAGAGTTCAAAATTGCAATTGGGAAGAGGCTGGTGCTGTCCTTCACGGGGATTTCCCCTTCAGCTCACTCTTCATTCTATTAAAAATGTGATTTGCCCTTGACGGGCCAGTGCTGCCGGGGAGTTGGAGCTCTTCCAGGTCATTGTCCCTTTGGGGTGCCTGGGTGAAGCTGCTGCTTCTAAGGTGAAGGACCTTAGATCACTGCTCCTGCAGCCTTACCCTCAGAGGCTTCTCCTACCCAGTTTGGGATTTGAGCAGATTCAGTCGGTGTTAAGATTTTTAAAAGTGGGGCCCAGTGCAGTAGCCTAGCGACTAAAGACTGCACCTTGCACACACCGGGATCCCATATAAGTGCCGGTTCATGTCCCAGTAGCCCCGCTTCCCATCCAGCTCCCTGCTTGTGGCCTGGGAAAGCAGTCGAGGATGGCCCAAAGCCTTGGGACCCTGTACCTGTGTGGGAGACCTGGAAGAAGCTCCAGGCTCCTGGCTTCAGATTGGTGGTCACTTGAAGAGTGAATCATCAGATGAAAGATCTTCTTCTCTGTCTCCTCACTTCTCTGTATATCTGACTTTCCAACAAAAATTAAAAATCCTTAAAAAAAAATCCACATTGCACATTGGAGTACCTAGATTCAGTACCCAGCCCTGTCCTGCCTTTGGCCTCCATTGAATGTAGATGCTGTGAGGCAGAACTGGTTGTTAAAAAAAAAAGATATTTAAAAATACTAGGAGAGGCTTTGTCTCCTGATTTAATGTCGGAAACACGTGGCATACTCATTGTTCTTACGCATTCTGCAGAGCCTGTTTGCTCCCCCACGTTGAGGAATGAAGCACTATGTGAGCTACCAACCTAAAGCAGAGTGGACTTCTCTCTCTTGCTTCACGGTTGTATAAAAGACAATAGCGGTCACTCCTCCTTTGCTCTGGGCCCTGCGTTCTACAAAGCCTCTTATGCTGAGATCAACTCCTGTTTTTTCTGGGTCTTTTTGGTCCCAAAACCCAATTTCCTAATTCTGTCATGCAGTATGTAGCGTGGTCCTTCAGTGGAGCCAACCATTTCATCAAATCCAGAAAGAGGAGTCTGTTGGTCACCTGCTCTATGCAAACGTCCATTAATCTGAGGGGGAAGAAAACATACCCTTATGTTAGGAGGTGGCATGACGGCAGGCAGCCCGGCATTTCCCACCTTTAAAAATAAAGTAGGCTCCTTTGAATTTCAGTCCCTACGGATGAAGCTAGGAAGTGCCAGATGTCCTTGTGTGACCATCTTTTCTTCTACATTCCTTCAGCTGTTAGCCGTTCCTGGATTATATGAAAAGTAGAAAAAGAGCAGCATTCTCTTGGGAAATCCCCTTCAAAGGTTCTTTGTGTATCAGAAAGGTTTTTTGTAATTTACTCCATAGTCTGCAGCTTTGTTCTGTTAACACAGCGTTTTGTTGTTGGAGATCTGATCTGTGATGATGGGTTTATTTATGCTCACGAACCTTATAAAATTTGTTGGTACAAACTCTGTGGTTGCAACTCTGATAAACAATGGAAAATAAAACATTTCATACTCCACTGAGAAGTTCTTGCTTTCATCTGCATTGCCAAAAAGTGTATTAATTCTTTTTATTAATTTTGAATTTTATGGTACAGTTCCATAGGATCTGGGATTTCCCTACCCCCTTTGCAAATTCCCAACCCCCGACTGATTTTCCCCATGTTGTTACAATAGTATTGTCCTTCATAAGCAGTCTTAAGTCCATCAGTCTGTTATTGAAGTGTGGGGGGAGGGGTAAAATTGGGAGGGTAGAAAGGGAAGTTCCTGAGCCTGTGGAATGGTATCATGAAAAAAATTGCATAAAAAAGTGTCAGTTGGTAACAAAGGAAATGTCAGTGACTGTTTTAACGGCAAAACACGTTTCCTTACTCAGAAAGAACAGAGTGATAGCACTTATTTGATGTATACTTGGATAAAATAAAAATTTTAGTGGTAAAGTGTATTGGTGAGAACAGTGGGAAACAAACATTAAAAAAAATCAATCTTTTAATTTTAACTCTGAGGAGTTAACATACGTATCTGTGCTCGTGATCAAGAAATGGCAGGCAGGTGAAGAGCTTCCAGTAGCTTGAGCCGTCACTAATGCCTCCCAGGAAGCTGGAATTCGGAAGCAGAGGTGGGAGTTGAACACAGGCAGTGCAGGGTGGCGTAGGAGCACCTTAACCAGTGCCTGAACCAGCAGGCCAGACACCTGCAACCCCGCACTTATTTT